TGACTCAGTGGTTAAGAACACTGGTTGTTCTTGCAGAAGACCCAGGTTCGAATCCCAGCACCCACATGGCAGCTAACAGCTGTCTGTAGCTCCAGTTTCAGGGGACCTGACGGCCTCTTCTGTCCTCCTCGGGCATTGCATGACACGGGTGCACTTACCTACGTGCAGGCAATACATTCATACGCATAAAATAAAAATAACAAATAAAATATTTTTTTAAAATTGCCAAGAAAGTAAAAAATACTCACTTCAGGGACTCTGTAGCTCAGTGGTATAGTGTATACTTGGCATGCATGAGGCCCTGGATTAAATTTTAAGAGCCAGGGGAAAAGACTAAATTAACAAATGGTGAGCAGCGAGCATGTGTACTAAGTGAGATTGTAGTTTAGCTGCTACTCAGAAACAAGCATTAATGAGATGCATCCTCACCCTAGATTTCTCTATTGAGTGAGATAAGGAGCTTCTGCAGGTGACTGCAACTCAAGGAAGACAGGTGTAGAGTTGTAGGAGTTCAAAGATGGAGCGTCTACATTAGGTAGACCATGCACTGAGGGACACTTAAGCATGCCCTTGGAAGTCCAGGGAGGCAGAATTTGCGTTCTTCTCAGCAATGGGAAGGGTATGGAGGCATATTCAAAAATAATAAGTGGTTATCATAGATTCTGAAGATAGAAGGAGTCAGTAGATTGTGTGGAGGGTACTCAGAGCTTTCTAGTTCAAGAAACAGGGAGTCACTGTAGAATTCTGGGCATGGAAGAAAGTGAAATGTCCATCAGGATGAAATGAGGAAGTGTCTGTGAGGCAGTGACTGTGGCGAGGAGGTGTCTACACTGGGCCAATGGAAAGTAGTTGGGCTTCACCTGGAGGGACAGGCTGGAGAACAGCAAGGTGGGAATGTGAGAGACTCTTCTGCTATGAAGTACCTACTCTATGAAAGAGAGAAGGGATGAAGGTATTTTGGGGTCTATAGAATTTAGTGGCTGAATGAGTGTGGGGTGATCCAGATGCTTGCTGAATACTTCTATCCTAGTTTGCCTTCTGTTGCCGTGATAAAACATTCTGATCAAAATCAACATGGGAAGGAAAGGTTTTATTTGGCTTACAGTCCCAACAGTTCATCACTGAGGGAAGCCAGGGCAAGAAGTCAAGGCAGGAGCCTGGACGCAGAAGCTGAAGCAGAGACCATGGAGGAACGCTGCTTACTGGCTTGCTCCCCTGGCTTGTTCAGTGAGCTTTCTTTTTTCAGGATATTTTATTTATTATTTTTCTTTTATGTATATGAGTGTATTGCCTGCATGTATGTAAGTATTGTGCAAGGCCCACAGAGGTCAGAAGAGGACATCAGATTGCCCTGGAACTGCAATTGCAGACAGCTCTTAGCTGCCATGTGAGTGCTGGGAATGGAACCCAGATTCTCTGCAAGAGCAGCCAGTGCTCTTAACCACTGACTGAGCCATTTCTCCAGCCCCTCAGCTAGCTTTCTTATACAACCCAGACCCACTGCTCAGAAATGGCATTGCCCATGTCCACAATGGACTGGCCTCTTCTACATCAATTAATCACTAGGAAAATGCCTCACCAACATACTACAGGCCAGTCTGGTGGAGGTAATTCCTCAATTGAGGTTGACAGAAACTAACCAGCACAAAATCTAAAGGTAGAATTGCCTTCATTTCTTAGACTATAGAAGCAGTGACAGCTTGCTAGAGATTTAGATCTCCTTAGGATTTCTTAGGAATGTGTGTTACAGATTTTTCATTCAACCAGGAAAGCATCAAATCAGGAGACGTAATTCGCTCTTCCATCCTCACTTTCTTATGCCCAGAGTCGGACAATAAACAGACAAGCGAGCAAATCTATGTGGTAGACAGATGAGTATTGGGGGCAAAATGAATATTCAGGTAGGTAATGAGGCTTCAGGATGCTCAGGGAGGAAGGGAAGGGAAACCCTCTTAATAATAGGATAGAATTTGAGGAGATTTGATGACAAAGAAGGAGCCAGCCATGCTGATGAATAAGAGGTTTGATGGGTGGGTGAGCAAATGTCAATATCCTGAGGTGGGCTCAGCCAGGCAAATCACACTCAAGACACAGCAAGGTGGCCACAGCAGTTAGTGGTGTGATGAGCTTTCAAAGGTGGAGGAAAGAGACTGCTGGGTCCCAGGTGGTAGTAGAGAGGGTGTTACATGTCTATGACAGGGATGTCTATGACAGGAGGGCACAGAAAGGAATGGACAGATTGGCTAAGATGACCCTTAATGCAAATTAAAGCAGGTGGTCTCCCTTTTTGTCTTGAACTTCCTGGGGGAAATATGCAGATTAGCCCCCTAGACCTTGGCTGCATGAGATATTTAATAACTAATTCATAAGCTAATTGCTTCTGCCAGAATTCTGTCAGCTTGCTGATTGTATCTCTGCAAAGATGAAAGGGCAGACTCCCGGCCATGTTGTTAGGCAACTGCGTGGCTGCACAGAGCTTTAAAAAAAGTCCCAAGCTTCAAGCTTCACGCAAGGCCCTGCCAGTTGCTCACCAGTCACAACCCTTGTTCTCCTCTAACCCCAGGCTAGTTCAGAGTCCCATGGGCAAGTGAGGGGGGTCTAGGAGGGAGGTCCAGTTCCACTTTTGATTCTTCAGAACTCTCAAACTTCAAGACTTCACCAGGCTTAAAATGCCATTGCTAAGACCAGGCCAGCTCTGCTTCCGGGGATACCAGTAGGCAACCGTGGTTCTGCCTCCTCCTGGGATGGTACCATGCCAAGGTGGAGAGATGCTCATTTTACCTGGGATGTTGCTTTACCAGCTCTTTCCAGACAGACTTAACTTCCTAACCCATGTCTTCCCCTGCCCACTAGCATTTTTTAATCTACCCCTTTCTGTTAACTCTACGTAGTAGATAGAAGACCAAGCCCCCTCCTCTCTATGATTGATGCTCCCTCATTGTTAAAAGGGCAGGACTTCTCCACCCCCTCACCCCAAACCCAGACTGAGCCCCTTCTGTTGCAGTTAGCTAGAAGTTTCTTTTCCTGAATTTCCCCCACCTCCCAACAAGAACATTTTTATGCATTTGACTTTTTAAATGTCCATGTCTCCTTGGGAGAAATGCATGTGGATACCTGTGGCCCTCTCAAGACAGTTGCCTACAGCTTAAACCAAAGAATTTGTCTCACTAAGTGGGGCTGGGTCCGCCACGATCTAGGGTTGGGACAGGGCCTGTTCTCTCAGGTGCCTCCAACTTTTGTCAAGTTGACAAAGACTAACCAGGACTAGGCTAATATTAACTAACAAAGAAGATAAGCTACCAGGACAAAGAGATCCCAAGAATGCAAGCCATGTGTTTTCTCTCACAAAATAAGAAGTGGAAGGGACTCAAGACCCTCTGAAGGAGGCTTCATCTCTAGTCTATAGTGACTGCTGTAGTTGTCCTGCCACAGAAAGAAGGGAGCTGGGGGCAGGAATCCCATATGTATTTGTGTTTTAGGAGCATTACGGGATAGACACACATCACTCTTGTGTGATCACAGCCACACAAAGCGACCAGAACCTCTTCCTGAGTATCCAGTTGCTTACCTAGTAGTCAGGAGCCATGTTTTTCAATAAGAAGAACTAATATTGGAAAATAGCAATCTGCAGCATAGTCCTGGCTCTCCAAGGGCCAAGTGAGTGTCACTCTTAAGGTATGAGTGATCACACTCACTCAAAGGTGGGGAAAAGTAGTGGTGACTGGGCAGGCATTTAGAGGACAAAGATGGGGGCTTGTTGTGTGTCTTACAGTAAATAGGATACACCCTGAAGTCCAATAGGGCCTGTTAACAAGGGATAACAGATGGTGACATCCAATCCAAAATTCAAACCCTTGTCTTAATTTTAATTTGGTTACCCACACAGCATGTTGATAGCAGCACAGCCTTATTTGACAGCAAAGCACACAGCTACAAACCCCTTGCTGATTTCAATCCCATCCCAAGGGCTTCAGGAATTGTTGTGTAGCTGCTGTTTCTGGCATCCTTCAAGGAAGACTACATCTTACTGATTCCTCTTGCCAGCACAAGATACCATCCTCAAAGGCTGAAGTAACATAGTGGTTTCTTAGCTGGACCAAGAAAGGTCCCTCAGAGTCTGTGAAAATTCCTAAAGGCATTCAGTGGCCTTTGAAAGGCCT